CCATCCTGTCCTTTGTATGAAAAGGCAACAGATTTTGTTTGGCCATTAATCTTCACGCCAACCTGCTCCTTCCCTGAGGAATCCTGAATCTGCCAGATGTTCCAGTTCTTTTCCAGGGTGCTTCCAGTCATCCGGAAAGTCGTCAAAAAGGAATATTCTTCGGGCAGCCCGCTGGGATACAAATGCCTGAAGAAAATATTAAACCATGAAGGGTAAATCTTGTTTTCCATGTGGATTTACAATATTGCCCTGTGTGCTATTTTAGCTTCTAGACAGAGCGGCTACAGTGTAAAACACTGTACGCTTTGTTAGTTCATGCCCGTTCGTCAAGACCTTCCACACCAGGTTTCAATCATCTCTGTATGTTAAGCCTCCATCTGAAAACACGAATAGCAATCTTCTTAGCGGAGGAGGACTCCCAGTGAGTCTAACCCCAGCAGTGTTCCTATCTATGCGATCCCAGGGGCCGCTGGTCAGCAGCTCCATCTCAGCCAAAGCCCACATTATTAGAAAATTCTTGGCATCAACGGGCACCAGTCAGAGAGAGAGAGATTATCTGGAATCCAAATCAGCTCTACTAGTTGAGGAAACCATTTAATTAAAGGAGCTTAAAAAAATCTCTGCTTCCTATCTCACAAAATGGTTACAAGGATCAAGTAAGTTAACAAGAATGAAAGCACTTGGAAAACTTCTAATCGCTGTGTTAAGAATATTAAGATGCTAAAACAACAAATGGACCTTTCTTACACAGAGCTGTTCACATCTTGGTTGTCTTATCCAGAGTTCAACTCGAAGAAAGCACTTGGGGGACACTTTTGAGTTCTACACGGTCACTGTTGTTCCTTGGGTGAAGATAGCATGTTCTTGGCCTTGAACTTCAATCTATTCACCCTCCTCCTAACAGCCACATCTAGGACACTAATGGGGCTCTAGGTTCAAACCTCTTTTGTGTTTCCTTGTGAGGGAGTCAGAATACAGTCTGAAGGTAGTGATGTCTGAATGCTTATT